AAAAGTATGTTTATGAATAAACAAAATCAGTTACCTTTCTCCTAAGGATAAGAGGAGCATCATCATCATCATCCTGCAAAATGGGAGATGCTGAGACTGGCCGTTTGCGGCTAGAGGTGCCTTTGGCTATATGGTCTTGGCAGGAGGAGAAGCAGATGGAAGAATAGAACGTTTAGCGCGAGCATTTGAGGAAGGATTCCTAATGGACACAGAGGTGGCCAAAATAGGAGAAGTAGAAGAAGTATTTGGCTGATCCAATAAATGGAAGGCACGATTAGCATCAGTTGTAAACAATCTGCGTTTTACTGAAGGCCGACCTGCTCAAAGAGAGGATGTGTGACACCGATAGAATTGAAAGGGGCTAAAGAGAAACCTTCGGCCAAAAGGTTATTACGGGTGTCAATAGCTTGCGCTTCGGTCTTGTTGATAGTATGAAAACGCTCTGTCAAATTTTTAGAATAACAAGGAAGAACAGACCACGTTTGGCCAAAATCAAGCGGCGAGCAAAAAATTGGGGAGCATATATTTCAACCCCGGCCTTGGCATTGGTTCCAGTCAAAATGTCGTGGAACAGTTCTCTCCCGAACAAAAATTGAACCCAAACAAGCAAAAATGTGCTCACATTGTCCATGGTGGATGGAGGTCGCACGTAATCTGGAGTCAAGTGAGCAAGAAAAGGAAAGAATGAAGGAATTGAATTTAAGTTATAAAATAATGAAAAAATGTCCCTACTGGACATATTTACAGGATTCAATGGGTTAATGGCTAACCCATAGCAGCTAGCAGAACGAAAGAAGTGAATGGAGGGCCAAGTTGTGGAAAGTATGCTCTCAACTACAGATGAGTGAACCAAAGGGGCCCACTGCAAGTGGGAGATGCACCGTTCTTCAATTGAGATTGAAGGGAAGCCATGCCCTATAAAGTGCAGCTAAGAAGAAGGAACATAAGTTCAAAGGCCTGCCATGCGCCAGTTCATGCACTATGGTTAAGTAGCTCATAGAAGGTTTCATACTTGGTACGCAAAGAATATATTTACAGAGCCAAATTTGAAGAAAGGCCACACGCTTAGTATGAGAAAATTCAACACTTGAATGATTATAATGACTTTGCATGCTTGAATATGACTCAATAAGTCTTTTCTCAAATTTAGGGGCAATTCCAGAAATTAAACTACCAGGAAAGATGGTATCGCCCAAAGGTGGAAGATTTACTAGGGCTCCAATGTCCCTTAAAGCAATAGACATGGGACCAAGTAGTAAAACGAAGGTATTATATTTAGAACACCAAAAACTCAAAGCAATCGGAAAAAGCACTGGGTCGAAAATTGGGGGTTCAAGAGCGATTTCTAATAAATTTGAAATCCGAGCACGATCAAAAATCGCATTGGTATGGCCATAATTTACCATACGTGCATGCAATCTACGAAAACCATGATCAGTTTTTGGCCAAGTACGGACACCTTTATCACGGATTGACTTCAATGACAGGGAGTTCAGAAATGGAGGATCTTCAGTACAAGGGAACAGCTGGCCCACCGCCACTTGTTCAACGGCTTCGGCATTATTAAATGATTGACCCAAATAGAATTCATTGGGGTCAGCATTGGCTTCTGAAAGGAAGTTTGGATTTACATATAGCCTAGTAAGGATTTTCCGGAAATCTTCGAAACTGAAAACATCATCAGATTGAGTTAGTGAAGTCGCCATTGAGTGGAAAGTACAGTTTTGTTAAGGTTTGCCTAAAAAACATAGCAGAGAAGCAAGAAGATAAACAGTAAAATAACGATGAAGATGCGCGAAATATAGAGACATGGTTTAGTGGTGCGGTGAAATGGCGTGTCTTTTGGGTTTATAAGGGTTTGTAACGTTGCACCTTTTTAGGCTATAGAAGGAAATAACGATTGAAATTCTGAGAATTTCAAATGTTACCCGGAAAATACAAGGTGAATATGACATAGATTAATACTTGGTATTAAATGTGCCATATTGGGGGGTAATTGTTGACATACTAAAAGTGCAGTCCAAATTAAATAGTCCAAAGAGTGAAACTCAATTGGGGAGTCTAGGATAAAGGCCCAAATAAGATTATCGGTGAATACAGAGGAAGTCCACGAACACAGTACCAGAGCGATGACCTCGTTCTCGTCTAAACCTTCGAGTCGCCCAGAGTCTTAACAAACATAAGGTATTATGGTTATCTAAAATAGTGTTTATTGAAGCAGTTATCAAGCAGATTTATCACATTCCATGATTCAAGGAGCCCATTTGAAGGCGGTTGAACGACAAAGAGTAATGATAGAAGTTAGAGATGACATTTCCACGACAATTTAGCCACCATGAAGAAAGTGGATAGTTATAAAACAATCAAGCAGTTTCCAAACGGTTTGTCAAGAAAAAATAATCACGAGAATATAAAAAGGAAGAGAAGACATAGAGAAAAGACTCCGAATCAAACACTCTCAAATAGAGAATATGTAATTTCAATTTCTTAGATTAACTTTAATTATCCATTTTCAGTACTCGTGTACTTGAGCTCCTTGGAGGTATTCTGTTTATTTCCAATTATAACTCTAATCAAT